AACCGATTGCACAAGGCATATGCAACTTGATTTAAAGAAAACTCTTATAAATTATTTATTTATTTAAATAAAGGAGAAGAGAGGGAACAGTATGGATTTCTGTAACAGGTTCGAAACAGGTACAAAAAAAATCAGTTTATAAACCTGCCTTTTTGGAAACTCAACACTGGTCAGCCTTGTTTTCTCATATTGTGTTGGTCTAGAGACAGCACAAGAAAATGTACTTGATAAACCCTAGAACATGCTGACTTGTAAAATATGGGATGTTTACTGTCCTCTCATGATGGACCCACTTTCATTTAATTGACAGGGAGCCTGTCACTGAAAAAAAACGTCCTGGATTCTATGTCCCTAATCAAAATTCTTGTAGGATTTCCAAAAAGGAGGAGAGGAAGTGTGACCACCTGGCTTGCCACAGGGTTAGGTCCTCCAAGAGCTGGATAGCAGATTAGGAAGAGGCTTCCACCGGAGGCGGGTGTCTCTCAAGCAGTTTTATTCTTGAGGGTTTGGATGAGGGAGAGTGAGGTGGGGAGCAAGGGAGCACAACCACTTGGGAGGGTAGCTAACTCTGAGAGCCCTGAACAAAGGTGTGGTGGTGAATATAACAGTGGCTGGGTAGGAGGGTCAGGGTAGGACACAACCAACGAGGGAAGGGTCCAGGGGCGGAGCAGAGGGTGAGTGACGGGGTAACAACCAATGGGGACAAGGAGAAGGCGTGGTCTCAGGGAAGGAACCAATGGGGATACAAAGAAGACAGAACTTTCTAGAACTGGGGGAAGGATTACACAATGACTGACAGGGATGAGGGGAAGGGACAACAAAAGATTGACAACAGGGGAGGCGGGAAGTTATACATCTGTTGCCGCCCAAGGCAAGGCACGGGGGCCATCTTCCAAACCCCCTCCCACAAGGAAGTAGAGAGGAAACAAAGCTACGCTGATAAAATAAGGAACTAAGTGCCTGCACTTCTGAAATGATAAGTCTCTTTCTTCTGTAAACCTAAAACTTTGTTTTCATGTATGGGTCTTTAAAACAGCAGCAGGGAAAGACCAGGTTGGATGGAGCTTTGAGTAAGCAACTTTGGTTTGGTGGTGGGTGAGTCTGCGCATGGCAGAGTGGTTGGAGCAAGATGATCTTTATTATCTCTTCAAACCCTAGCCACTCCATGATTCCATGATAGTATGAGACTAGATAAAGAGAGAGATGCTCAAGAGAACAGAAAAAGAGCCTCACAGGCTCACTGAATAGTCTGATTGGAAAGGATCCACACAGACCCTCGAGTCTGACTCTAAAGTGAATGGCCCAGGCAGGGATCAAACCCCCATTGGCATTATTAGCACCCTGCTTTAATCAACTGAGGACTCATGAGAACATAAAAACACAAGTCACAGCATAATCTAAAAACATTTAAAACAATCACGGATTTAATTTCTTGATCTGACACTGTACCTCCACTGCCAGTATTCCACAGTTTTTGTAAAAAAAAAAGTATGGGACTTTCTGATGCTTCACAGGAGCCTGCCATTTTAAGGTGGCTTCAATCTATCTGTGATCAACATGTCAGTAGTGCGGGTCCACCAGGTATGCCAGGAACTTCACCCTGTGTTGTTGAAAAGAGCTGATTTCTGGGGTTTGACGTGGAGTCACCACTGCTGGAAGTGATTTAGGACATGCCTGGCATAGCCTGTGTGCCTGTTGAGTGCTGGAGAACATGAACATGCTGAGAATATCACTACACAGTTATCAAGCAGACTGTGCAGCACATGATGTACAGAACCATGGAAAGTGGTCAGAGCACAGGAGAGACCAAACAGTGCCGCAAGATCCTCATAGTGTCTGTATCTGGTTCAGAAAAGACTTTTTCCGCTCATTCCCTTCTAGCGTGCAGGAAGTGCAGTGCTTCTTAGAGTTTGCCAGCTTCTTCTGATGAATCAAAACAGGCTTTTCCAGTATCATGGCTCTTCTAGTGGTACCTACTTGGAAGGGACCTCACTTCCCATGGTCATGAGAAGCATATAAAGCTCCTGAGGAACAGAAAGAGTCATTCACCACGTCCTACCTTACTGTCCTGCCAAAGTCTTGGCTGGAATTCCGCTACGGAAGCAGATGTCTCTGAGCCATAGTGGCTATACTGTCCCACAATCAAGCCCAAAGCAGGAGCCATGATGTCTTTTTCTCTAGACAGATCACTCCCACAAATAGGAATTTTCCATCTGAGATAAACAGGAGCTGGCAATCAAGCTGCCTCTGAGGAATGGTAGCACACTTTTGAGGCAACAGAAGAACCAACAGTGGTGCTGGCCTACCACCAGCATACAACTGGCCCAAGCTCTGGGGTAGGCCAGTCCTAACATCTCATTTTGAGGGTCACAGACAGACATAGACTTTAAAGGAGCATGCTTTTCACATCCAGTTTCCAGAGTCAACTGATTTGTGTATTTATTGGCCAACTACTTCCCCTGGTGGAGCTCCAGCACTCCAGTGCTTGGCCACTGCAGTTACGGTCCCTTCGAGAATTATTTAAATTAACTAAGTCACCTGGTTTTGGACCCCATGGCCACTGTCCTCCACACAGTCACAATCCATATTGTTCTGGGATATTACTACTGCTGATCATCTAATGTCCCTTGGGATATATAGTACCTGGATAGGCTGTAAAGATTAGCCATAACTAACTAATAAATCCTAATATGATTGTGCAGTCCCCACTGAATGGTTCTGGAAGACCATAAAACCACAGAAAGGTTTGAGTTGGAAGGGACCTTTAAAGACCATGTTGTCTAACCTTCCTTCAGTGGGCAGGGGTATCTCTTGCCAGTTCAGGTTTCTCAAGATGGAAAGCAAGAGATCTTGAAGCAGCCTGCTGTTCCCTGCCACACTTGAACACATTGACCACAGCTTCCTGCAGCAATCTGAGCCTAACCTGCAGCTGATGGGGAGCCTGAAGGCCAGGCTCCACAGTCAGCCTCAGCCTTGAGGTGGTTCAACCTACCTGCCATGAAGCAGCAGGACTGGGGCAGCTCTGCAAGGGATGGCAGTGAAAAGTCAGGGGAGATCACATCAGGGGACAGTGACCTCACCGACCAGGGCACAGTACCCAAGTGAGGCATCCTGGAAACAATAGCAGCTGCTGACAGTCACAGCGACCACCAGGTAAATGTGAGATGGCAGGTCAGGTCCAAGTGGAATCCATGAAATTCAGTGAACTGAAGCTGCAGGATATAGGACTAGGCACATGTCTGCCAGCAACACAGCTCAGGAAAGGGCTGGAGGCCAAGGCTGGAGCAGAAAGAGCTACCCCTGCAGCTATGCTGGCAAGTGTGCACCAGCGTGTCTTGTAAGGCTCCAGGTTAACTCCAGCAAAACTGAGAGAGGAGAATATAACACAGACCAAGCACGGGAAACGGCCCCAACCACCCTGTACCTTCTAAATGAAACTTAAAACCGAGGCCAAGCATGTCTTGAGGGTGTTTATCTGACCACAGATAGTTTTCACCATCTCTTCTGGTCCTTCAGTCATCCATTACCACATCCATGATGAAAAAGTTGCACAAAGATTTAAGAAAACTTTTAAGGGTGGGAATCGAGTAGAAATACAGGAGCAGGCTAGAAAGAAAATAGATTTAGGCTTGCCAGTTTTTCTGATTGAATAGAAACGTAGGAAACAGGGGCCCTGAAACCATCCACTCTCACTCCATAACAAATAAAAATTAGTGTTCCAACTTCTTGATTAAAGACAGTGACAGACTTGGTTTGATTTTTGTTTTACTTCAAATAAAAGCTTTATAAGTGTATTGAGACATGGGTTTTGGTCCTAAGCAACAGAAAGAATGGTCTCTCTGTTGTGAAGTACTAATGTGGAAATGCCTGAAACTATCTTAAATAGAAATTGCAGAATTCAGACTACAAATTATATTTCATACCACACTACAAATTGTATTTTATAAGTAACACTGAATTTCACTGGATCTATTTTCACACTTAAAATTCAATTGTTTAGACTACGTGTGTTATAACAAACAGACCCATCAACTAATAAATATGCACCAAGAGAGGCAGAAGAGCAAAAAATATATTCCTTTCTCCAGACCAGGCTGGGAAAAAAAATCGCAGTACTGTCATGTGTGCACTCACTGCATTAGGAAAACATAAAGTTACCACTAAATTAGGCAAAATAAAATGTCTTTATTGCCTGGTCCAGATTAAGACCTTTTCTAAAAGTGTGTTGTCATTTAGAATGAAATGTTAACTAGAGAGAAAATCATTTAAGTATCTACAAACCAGAAATTAGTCCTAAAGTAAAATTATGTCTTCAAGCATTGCAGGCAACAAACATACATAGATTTCAGCACTAATCCTTCTGCCTGAGGTAGTCTGATATCCTTGGTGTTATTCAAGTGTCATTTCCTCCTGCTCACACACCTGTATACTTTTCTGACACCCAGTGTGACTACACAATGCAATTGGACAAGCACAGTAATGCTTAATCATTTAAAATCCATAACATTCGTATTCCTAACACTGCTGGGTTTTTGAAACATGCAGTTGGTTGGACTGTGCAATTCTCTCCATAGTTCACTAAGACAGCCTTTTTACTTAAGAATTACTGGTGACCATTTTAAATACATAAAACTATGTCTGTGTGCATCTTATCTGGACAAATCCAGCTTCTGTAAGTTGAATCAGCCATTCTATACAGTGTAAAAGAAAACACTTTATTTAATTTTCCTAGTAAGCAGTAATTTTCCTAGTAAGTTACTGCCATTAAACTTTGCATTTTTCCAAGGCACAGTACACAAAAGAACTCCTGCAATGGCAGATCAGTCTACTAGCTGAAAATTTTAACCTTCTAATGACACAGTGGGACATGTTTTGATTCTTCTATGTGTCAAGTGACACAAGGCCTTACAAGGAGCAAAACAAGAACATTCAGATATCCCTAGTTCTTCATTAGTCATAATGAATACTAGTCCCTTACAGAAATGAAAGACACAATCTTGTTAAATACAACATAAGAATAGTATTTTATTCTGTTAATCTGCGTATGTATTGGTACAGCTGTTCTGAGAAAGCTTCTGAAGAAAATTTTTCCATAACTCTCACTCTCCCAGCTGCTCCCATTGTGTTCTTTAAGAGAGGATCTCTCACAATTTTTTCCATGGCATCAGCAAATTGCGTTGGTAGAGGATCACACAAAAATCCTGTAACATTATGTGAGATTGATTCTAAAGGACCACCTGAATTAACTGCTATAACTGGACATCTCATATACATTGCCTCCAAAGGGACAATGCCAAAATGTTCGTTGCTTGGTGTATAAAGCACACACACAGAATTACTAAAAAGAGAGATTTTCTGTTCATCTGAGAATGATCTCAGAAAAGTCACATGGTCATTAACATCGAGTTTGGCTGCGAGTCTCCTCAGCTCTTCATAGTGCTCCACGTTTTCCAGAACTCGTTTATCATAACCACCTGCCATAACCAGGTGAACTTCATCCCACTCATGAGAATCAAGTCTCCCTCGAAGTTCATGCAAAGCTTCGAGAGCCAATGCCAGATTCTTTTTTCTCTCATACCTATTAATGGAAAGGAACAAGAACTTTTTCTTTTTTGGTATCAGATCAGCTATGTCTGCAGGAACAATTTCTTCAAAGCTACTGATGTTGAGTGATGGGTAGAGGACATCTGGGTTTATGTGTGATAGGGACTTAAATGTGTCTTTGAAGACGCTGGCAGTGAACTTGCTGTTCACAACGATACAGTCTGCCATGCCAGTCGTGTACTCTTCCAGCCAGTCGAGCGGCAGTCTGTAGAGGCGCTTCAGGAAAGATTCTCTCTTGGTCAGAAGCTGATCGGGAAAGTGACAGTAAAACAAAACCTTCTTACGGGTTCTGGCCAGTCTAAGTACAGGAATGCAGGCAGACACCTAGTGCAACCAGAGATGGTGGACAAGAGGAGAGGTTAGTTGTTTGTGTCAGTGCCACCAGTGTGTACATGTGATTTCAAAGCCACGCTCTGAGAGACACTGCTTTGCAAGCCAAGTGCCTTCTCCTTACAAGGTCCCATCAAGCCCCAGGACTTCCCCAAGCACCTCCTTCTCCCACTACACAGGGTGCTGGGAGCAGAGCACAAGCAGCAGTGGCATCCTCTCCCTCCAGCTACCTCAGAATGTAAGAGGTAAAATGCAAAATGTGGAATAGGTCAAGATTATCTAAAGTCAGGATGTTTCTTTGATGTAAGATCTTTGTATACTTTCAAGCCTAATCAGCAAGAAAGAAGACCTCATCAGTGGAACTGTCAGCAGCTAGCATCCCTTAGTCAATGACATCCTGGAACTAACAAGCTTTACAGATGCAGTAAATCAAGATGTTGATTTATGTATATGTATTCATTGCTAACTTCACAAAATACTCTAGGTCCAAGTATCCTATAGCTGAACTATGTTCATTATAACACTAAAAAACAGACCCCTGCTCAAGTGAAGACCATTTCCCTGAGCAAATGTAGAAGTTAACTGAGGATATGTAACTTGTATGGAATCACAGAATCAATTAGGTTGGAAAAGAGATCACCAAATCCCAGCGATGACCCAACACCACTGTGTCAACTAGACCATGGCATAAAGGGCCATAACCAGGCTTTCCTTAAATATATCCAGGACCAGTGACTCCATCACCTCCTTGGGCAGTCCATTTCAATGTATAATCACCCTCTCTAAAGAAATTCTTCTTAATGTTCAAGCTAAGTCTCCCCTGGTGCAGCTTAAGACTATGTTCTTTCATCCTGTCACTAGCTGTTGGGGAGACCAATCCCCACGTGCTAGAACATCCTTTCAGGCAAGTGATAAGGTCACCCTGAACCTCCTTTTCTCCCAGCTAAACATCCCAGCTCCCTCAGCCACTTGTCATAAGACCTGAGCTCCAGACCCTTCCCCACCTTCACTGTCCTTCTCTGGAAACTATTAACCAATCATAATATTATGAGGGGCTGAATTTGAAATGTTACCAACTTTGCATTTCTGTGTATAAAAGATGGCACAGAAAGTCTGTTGGGGTGTCCTTAATTTGTGCAACACCGTGGAGCAGCCAGGCATGCACAGCTCTGAAATGAACAATCGATGTCTCTCTCTTGAGTGTGTCATTATTGGCTTGTTGCACACCTGATAATGAATCCAATTTTGTGGGGATTTGATACTCCAGGGTTCTGGAGAATGTCTCTTATGAGAAACTGCAGGAACTGGATGAGTTTAATCTAGAAAAGAGAAGACTAGCAGGGCATCTTAATAAAAATATCTCAAAAGTGGACCTCGACTCAAGAGGATGCTGCCAGACTCTTTAGTGGTGCCTGGTGACAGGACGAAGAGCAGTGTCTAGAAACTAAAACATGAGAACTTCTACATCCACATGAATGTAGAAGTTTTACACTGGGGGTGGCAGAGCACTGGAACAGCCTGCCCAGGGAGGTCGTGGGGTCGCCCTCTCTGGAGACATTCCAAATCCATCTGGACGCGCTCCTGCACCACCTGCTGTAGGTAACGCTGCTTTTGCAGGGGGTTTGGAGTAGATGATCACCAGACGCCCTTTCCAACCCTAACAATTCTGCGATTCTGTGAAGAGCAGCCCACCAGCATCCCCGCCTCCAGTCGGGCCGGCGGCAGCGGCACTCCCTTTCCCACGCCCATGCCCGCACCTGGTCGCACACGAAGGCGTCGAAGGTCTCCCCGCTGAGCAGCAGCACGTAGAGCGCCACGAAGGCCATGCGGAGGGCGGCGCACAGGGCGTGCCCGCGGCCGCACAGGCTGCGCGGCAGCCAGCCGCCCGCCCGCCGCACCGCCAGCCCGCGCGTCTCCGCGAAGCAGCGCTCGGGCTCGTAGTGCGCCGTCCAGATCTGCACCCGGCAGCCCCGCGCCCGCAGCGCCAGCGCCGCGTCCACCACCAGCCGCTCCGCGCCGCCCAGGCCCAGGTCCGGGTGCAGGAACAGCACGGACGGGCCCGCTCCTCCCGCCTCCTCCGCCTCCTCCATGGCCGCAGCCGCGGGGTGGCGTGGGCAGCCCGGCAGCCCCGCTGCGACACGTCAGCCTTGCTTCCCTTCCTGCCGGGCCTTCCCGCCCGCCCCGCCCGCCGGGCGGCCCCGCTGCTGCCCGACGCGCCGCTCGCCGCCAGCCCGCGCCGGCCCGGCCGCCGCGCAAGGAGCGGGCGCGACCGAGGCGTCACGGCGGGCAGCAGTCTCGGACCGCGGCCGCCGGGAGAGGGGTACGGCGATAAAGGGCTGCCGCCGCTCAGGCGTTATCCAGGGAAGCCGCGCGGCCCCGGGCTACGCGGCGCGGGGCGGAGCCTGAGGCGGGCGGGGACGTGGCCGGAGCGGCTGTAGCGGAGCGTGTGTGAGACCGCGCCGAGCCCGAGCCAGCGCCGCTGCCATGGTGAGAGGCTGCCCCAGGCGGGGGGCGGCTGAGGCGCCCCTTCCCCACCGCCAGTGCTCGCCGCCTCTCACCCCCTCCCGCTTCTCTTTTCTCTCCGCAGCCCGGGCCCAACCCCAGCGCCACCAGCGTCGGCTCCTCGGGCCGCTCCCCCAGCAAGGCTGTGGCTCCCCGCGCCGCCGGATCCACCGTCCGGCAGAGGTGGGTGCCCGCCGCCGCTCCCCGGCGGGGACAGCGCTCTGCTTGCCGGGCTGGTGCCCTCTGCTGATGTGGCAGCACAGCTGAGCCCAGTCCGGAGAAGGGCAACACTGCTGGGGAAGGGTCTGCAGCACCAGTGCTGTGAGGAGGGGCTGAGGGAGCTGGGGGTGTTTAGCCTCGAGAAAAGGAGGCTCAGGGGTGACCTTATCATTCTCTGCAACCACCTGAAAGGAGGGTGTAGCCGGGTGAGGGGCTGTGTCTTCTCCCTGGCAACTAGTGGCTGGATAGGAAAACACAAGTCTTAAGCTGCGCCAGCTGACGTTTAGCTTGGATATCAGGAGGAAGGGGCAATTAGACATCGGAATGGACTGCCCACAGAGGTGTCACTGTACCTGTAGGTATTTAAAGAAAGATTGGGTATGGCACTTAGTGCCATAGTCGTGTCGGGTCATAGGTTGGGCTTGGTGATCTTAGAGTTTTTTCTCAACCTAATTGATTCTGTGAAGTATATTATTTCTGCAGAGTCTTGTGGGCTGCTTGGTCCTAGAAGCTGGTGGAGTGCTAACGTGTTGTTTGGTCTTTGTTTTCTTCTGTCATCCCTTAAAGGAAAAATGCCAGCTGTGGAACAAGGAGTGCAGGCCGTGCCACGTCCACAGGGACTGGTGGGATGTGGCGGTTCTACACTGAGGACTCGCCAGGGCTCAAAGTGTAAGTTGGGTGAATGGGTGGTGGCAGGCTTGAGGGCCTTAGAGTTCCCCTGCCTACATATTCTTGAAGTCTTGGAATTAATAATAATCTGTCAGTGTTCTTGTGTGCATGGGAAAACTTGCTTGGTTGATGGTTGGGATGATGTATTTGACCTGTAGCCCTGGAGAAGGCATTTTTAAAGATACAGTGGTTTTAAAAAGGTAGGTACAAGTTGTATTTTGTAATTACCAAAGCTTACCCTAAGTGGTTTTTGAAGGCTGTGAGCAATCACTTTGAAGTTGAGAAAGGCCACTAGTCTCAACGAATTAAAGCATCTGTGTGCAATTTTTCATTCTCTTTCAAGTAAAAATTTTGGGTTTTCTCTTATAATAGCTATGTTATGATCCTGTGCACCTCTTGAAAATACAATATAACTTGCATCTGGTGTTTTTTATTAAAAAGCTGCAGATAAATTACTTTAGCTGAACTTGTCTAGCAAATAGCCTGCCAATACCTTGTGTATCTCCATTTTCACAAGGTGCATATTCCCAAGATTATGATCGAATACCTAGTAGTGTCCCTTTAACTATAAAGAGAGCCTAAGTTTTTACTCTTTTGACCAGTCTGAGTCATTCAGATGACAATCCAAACAAACTTTGCAGCCTAATACTTGTGTAGCAAAGATGAAAGGTGTATTTGAGGTGATGAGTGTGTGGTAAGTTATACCCTGCATGGAAATTTGTGCTTATTGTAGAATTACAGTTCATGAGCTCTTCTTACTGGGTTGAAAACTCTTGAGATGCTCTGGGCTGACTCTATTGCTTGTTTTTTTTTAATAAATGCATTAATATTTTCGTTTGGAGTTCTTCAAGAGGGCTGCTGGTAGCTGCACAAAAATAACATTTGGGGAAGGACTGGTGATAGGCTACTTAGTGGTAGTTCTGTGAGTGATCCTTCCTTTGAAGTTGTTTTACATGTTTTCATTTTCATATGTACTTGAAACTTTAGGAAACAAAATGCATCCAGCAAACCACCAAAGCAGTGCTGTTCTGCTTTGCTTACTGCATTCTGAGTCCAGAAAGGAGACAAGGCAAAGAAAAGACAATGAGCAACAATAGTGTTCTAGAACAAATCTATGCAGATAAGCAGGGCCACTGCTTTATCTGATGTTTGATTTACTGAAGTTCAATTTAAAAGATGAATTACACGAGACAAGGAAAAAAAAACCAGAAGGGCATTATGATTTTTTTAATAGACTTGTGATACAGGCTTTAATTTTGCTAAGTTTTCTTGTGAATCCTTTGATTTCCTTTTGTTGCTGAATGGCACTCAGTTCTCATGTTCAGTGCCAGCAGATCAGTAAATAAATTTTCCCATCTATTTATGTTGAAACACAGTGGTTCCTGATTTTAAGGTTTTGGAGCACTGGGAGTGGTTTATTTGGAAGCTACTTTGGGTAACTGTATGGTCAGGTTTTAATGAAAGAATCAAACCTATAAAAGTGAGCTGGTTTTACAAAGCACCTCTCACTAGATGTAACTTTTTCTGAGCTATGGCTTGGTAGCAACTTTCTTGCTTACAGCTTTCTTACAGCTTTCTAGGTATTTTTCTTCAATTTTGTTTTTTTTTCTTCCATAGCAGCAAATTATTATTATCTCTGCCCTGTTTAGTAGGCTTTAAAGTGAGAATGGGTTATCAAGGGTTTGTGATTGCCTCAGTGAAGTGCTCAAGGGAAGTTGTTTTTAGAAATAGTTGTGATCACTACTGCATAAAGCAATGGGAAAGCTTAGCCTTGGTGGTGAGTGGGCTTTTTGATGTTTTTTGATATTGTTTAAAATGCAAGCTCTTAAAATTACTATAAAAATACATAGAGCCACCTGAGAACAGGTTAACTCTTACTAGCTACAATGAGGAGAATTTTACTCTAGATAAAAAAGGTTTTATATTTTATATATTTTATATTGTGCAGAATTAGACTTATGTTTTGGGTATTTTGTATCTGTATTCGTTATCCAAAATAGTAAATATGCTGAATAAGCAAGTTGGTTCCCATCAGGAAAGATCCTTTATTTGCATTGCAAAATGCTTCAAGATGTGTATGCCTTTAAAAACAGCTATTAGTGAAAGGGAGTTGTGGGGGATTTGGCTGAGAGGGGATATGATATTTTTTTCTTTAAAGCTTGGAGATTACATGCTTTGAAAAGAAAAAGAAACCCAAACTTTTTTGTCTTTTTGGGTCACTTGGTGCCTGTCGTTCCTGTATCTTGTCTTGGGCTTTCCTGCTTAAAGAACTATAGGCAGCTATCCTGTGGATAGAAAGTCAAATTGAGCTTGTGGTACAATATGCAGGCTTATGAAAGACATTCTGAGAATGCACCGTACCGAATTTTTAGGGGTGTCTGAATCCATTTATTTAATTGTGGTGGCCTGAGAAGATGCAAGTGTGTCGAGGAGAATTCCAGGGTTTCAACAGGTTTTCTTTGGGATTAGAGGAAATGAGAATATGTGTCAGTATTGGAGAGTTGATTTTTCTCTAGGACTTCAATGTCATCTTCAATTTAAAAAACCACTGAACACACAATCAGTCCCCACTGTTTATTTCCATGTAGTTCTGTTCTGATTAGTGGGGCTCTTTGTTCTTGTGTGCCTTTGTCAGAGCAGCTTACCTGTTCCTACTGCAGAGGGCTCAAATTAATTAAATAGTAATTCAGATACAGTGTAAGGACTATAAATTATGACTTATATTATGTAGGCTATAAACTTACATGTATACATATATAAATAAAAAAAAATTATAAAATATATTTATTTATATGTATAAAATGCTAGGGTTTGAGAATTACAATCTGTTGCTTAGTGAAAGATACCCCTTGAAGGGGTTGCTTGTGTAGTCACAATGTATGTGGACTTTGTTTATTTTGTTGTTGGTTTATTTGCTAAATGCTTTATGTCCGTGTTGAGGATTCTCCATACCCCAATAAGTCTAAGTCTGGTATATAATAACCAAGTTTTAAAACTCAATGTAAGATTACAGTTGTGATCATTTCAAGTATGTGGATCACAGTTTCATAGAAAAATATGTCAGTAAACTCTTTGAATCCCTTTTCAGTCTTCTTTTTTTTTATTGCTTTGTATTCAGGTAGCATTTACATGCTTATAAACATTACCCTGGAGGGTAACACAGGCTGGATAACAGATTTCCCAATAGCATGTTGAAAATCAAAAATGAGATTGTGTGAAGTGAGTGGTATGAAGGACTGTTGAGTGTGTGTATTCATGTAACTGTTGCATCCCAGAACAGCATGAAACAGCTAATTGAAGCTATCAACATACTCCCTAAGATTAATTTGTTTTTTAAAAACAGTACTATGCAATTTCCAAACAATATATGAAAGTAAAAATAATTTATTCATTTTAGGTAAAGATTTAATAATGTAGTTTTGCCACTTTGTATATGTTTTTCAAGAAAGCAGAAGTCCTGTCTCTCACCTACTGCTGCCATTGTTTCCAAATGAAACAAAACCTCTAAAATAAAACAGCTAATGAGAATTTTTTGCCAAAATTTTAGTAGCCGCTAGAGGACTCTGTTGTTTTTTTTATATCAGACTGCATCTTTGCTCAGTTGGCTATCTGAGTTGTAAACACAGGGGATACTTTTCCAGAGACTGTGGAAACAGTGATGAATAATAATGAACCATTAATGGCTTTTTTAACAAGGGAGGGGGGGTTTGTTGTGCTTTTTTTATGTTACGTTTAGGGTTTTATAGAACTGTCTTTTAAAATAGTGGCAGCAGC